GGGCATCAGTGCAAAAGAGATGCTTGGAGATTCGTTTCAAACCTCTTATCTATTCCTCGACTGCCAAATGGTCCTCTATCCCGTTAAAGGTAAGGGGCTTGTAATGATGAAGCTGTTCTACGCCTGAGCTCGTAGTGTTTGAGTTAGTCTGTGCATTCTGAAGAGGCGCTTGCGTTTGCTGCTTACTATGATCTTGAACATCTCTCAACAAATCCTTAAACATAGCAGCTTGTATTGGTTGACGTGCCATTTCCTTTGAGTCAACCAAATAAATTCAACAATGGCTCAATATATTCGAGAAAGAAAACTCAATTTCATAAAATTTTAAATACTAAAATACATGAGGGACGATTAAATCCATAAACGAGATTTTTTCAAGTACTGATTACATTTTTTTAAGAAGGAAAAACATTATTTATTCAAACTAAACTATCTCCACGTTCCTAATCTTCATCTTCGCTTGTCCAAACATTTTGAATCCTATGAAGCTTAGATGGAGGGGCTTCATCATCCAAAGATATACATGACCCAGGCTTAGATTCCTGATCAACCTCTAGCTCAGGGTCTAGTTCAAATCCTGACTTCTGCTCTGGTTCTGGCTCTGGTCCTAGTCCTGGTACATACTCAGGCTCGTTCTCTAGCTCTGAATTAGATTTATAATTCGGCTCCTCTTTTGGGTCTTCTAGTGGCTCGGGTTCGGCCCCAAGAGTAGAAATCCACCTATCTAGAAAAGTTTCACAACACAACTCGAACTCGATCCTGTATGGGTTCTCTGGAGGGTTACCCTCTAGTATTTCGTCCTTAACCACAATGCCCATGCCCCCCCCCCATGTGGCAGTGTATGGATAAAGTTGTTAACAACTTGAAAAGGTATAACCTCATGTCCTACACCCCTTGCCGTAATCTACCTAGCGAAGACTTCATCCACAATGTCAATAAGTGTGTGAGTCGGGTTTGCTTCATAATTCTCGTAAGCTTGGATAATTGCTGCCCTATGGTTTAAAACAACCCTACAAGTCATTGTCTTCATAGCGATCTATCTAGTTTTAGCCATATCTATCACATACAAGCCAAGTCCAATTATACTTAATATTTTATCAGTGACAACACTTTCTCTTTTGTGCTCCCATAATTCATTATGAGGATAACATAAAGTATTATACATCTATCGAAAATTGATTAAAAGTATGCGAGAAACCAATTCATAAATGGAAGCAAATATATTTAACATCATGCTCACAATTTATACTAGAATATAACATTTCATTTGATTTCGAACATTTCTCGAAATAAATATAAGATGGTATATCTCATGCTCAAAATTAAATTTAAATAAAAAAATATTACGTAATACTTTCGGTCCGTCGGATGGTAGTTGATTGGTGAATTCTGGATGCCAAAAACCTTGTTCTAATTCATGTTTGTTGAATAAAATGTTATTAATAGTATCTTATCATATAGTTTAGTAGTCCATTTTTATTTTTTTTTTTCAAACTACATCAACTAATTGGTTTAACCGAGGTCAACTACTATCACACTTCAAGGATCTAACAATAAACTTGTGATCATTAAATATTCAAATGGGATCAAAAATATTTTCTAGTATCAATCTACCCAAATATTTATTCCACAACGATTATGATCAAGACATAAAATTTTAACGCCGTGACTTTTCAAGAATTAGAAGATAAGACAAATCTGTATAGAAACACCCATATACAATCATATAAGATAATATAAAACTTGCAAATTATTTAAATAATTATTTAATCATCGATTCCTTCACAAAGGTTGTTGTATATTTATGCAACTTCTATTTCATCTTATTATTATTAATATTTTTTTTTACAAATTCATATATATATATATATCTTTTTTTTTTCATCTCTGTCATGGCTAGCACTGTTCACATTTTTAAAACAAGTGTCACAATATGGAAGAAATAAAATTTACTTAAAAATGAAATTCTTTATATCTATATTCCTTCACAATGGCCCTTGTAAAGTAACTAGACAGCAGAAGAAAAAATTCATGCATTGGAAAGTGTTTAATTATAATTTTTTTAGTCTACAGAAAAATAAACATTTGCTCTGATACCAAACTATAATGTCTCAAATTTTATTGACTTAAATTTAGGCGTTACTGATATCATTTCATAATCATATTTGAAGCGGAAATATTAAATTGAAAATTTAAACCCTCAATTTATTTGAACCTTCGTATACTTAATTAAATAAACACGGAGTCACGAAATAGAAAGAGAAAAACACAAAATATCATAACAAAATTTATAATTTAATGTTTTCCTAAAATTTTACTTGAGTAACCCGCACATCGCTCAACAACCATCTACGTTGACCGATCTAACCTAAAATGTTAAAATTTGAAGGAAAGTAATTTAAACTCAGTAGAATACGTGTGTCCAAAACAATATAATAAATTTTTAAACATAAATTTGTAACATTCCATACTACCATTTTATTAATTGAATGCTCTAACACATTTCTGTACAAACAATTGAGAAAACTCGAATGAAATCTCACATTTCATTTCATTAAGACCCGTAGATCAATTAGCATTTCATGAAATAAATTACCTAAAAAATTATAATACTGTAAGGACAGATCAACTTGCACATAGTATCTTACCTTCAGTGGATCAAAATACGGGTTGACCTAAAATGTTAAAATTTGAAGGAAAGTAATTTAAACTCAGTAGAATTCGTGTGTCCAAATCAATATAATAAATTTTTAAACATAAATTCATGACATTTCATACCACCATTTCACCAAGAGCAATCGAAGATCAATCAAATGCTCTAACACATTTTAGTGCAAACAATTGAGAAATCCGAGGAAATCTCACATTTCATTTCATTAAGACCCGTAGGTCAAATTAGCATTTCATGAAATAAATTACATAAATAAATTATAATAATGCAATGACAGATCAACTTGCATATAGTATTCTACCTTCAGTGGATCAAAGAAATTTTTTGTAGGATTAAAAATACGGGTTGCACTCCTTAAGCGTATAAATTTTGAATAGAGTTTTGAGAGTGAGTGTGCGTGGTTTACGTTTTCTTTTGACTTAAAATAAAATGAATGAAAAAAGAAAACCAAACAAAAGTACTATATAAGAGAATTTGTTTGGATTTTAAATTTAAATTTTCTAGTTTTTTTTATCCTTATCCAAGGTCATTTTTGAAAATAAAACAAACCTATTATCCCATGGCAAATGAAAAGGAAACATAGTTTGGTAATACTTTAAGTTGCAAATCTTCCTTATCCACATACACGTCGTTTTATAAAGGCAATATATCACATGCCAAAATGAGAAAAACAGAATTTGTTATAGTGATTAATTGGAAATAAAATTTAGATAGATCAAATCATTTTCGAAATTTGAAGATAAACATGGATTACTTAATGCAATATTATTTCATTTTCTTAATTATCTTAAAATTTTTATTATTAAGTAATAAAATAATATCTATTAAATATGTATTATTGAATTGAAATGACTTGTGCTTAACTTATTCAAATTTATATTTTCTCGAGCCAATCTAGGTTATTTAATGCGAGCAACAAAATGAGTTCAATATACATTTTTCTTTCTCCTACAATACTTAAATATTTGGCCTAAACTAAATAAAATAAAAGGACCAAACAATATTATCCTATTAATTTTATTATGGCTAACAAAACGAAGATGTAAAAGGGTTTCAATTTTTAAAAAGATAAAAGATAACATAATAAATTAAGTCTATCTATTTTAAAACACGTAAAAATAATTTGGAGTGTTACAAGAACTGTCTTAACTATGACTGATGTGACCAAATTAACAATGACTTGATTACATACAATCACAGTTTAGATAGATCTAGTCACAGACAATCACAATAAAGATAAATTTGGTTACAATTGATCACAATTAACACATGTCTAATCACAAATAATAGCGGCTTACATAGACATTGTCACAAAATAATAACTTACACATATCTAGTTTCAAATGGTCACGTTGTTCAACTCACCCATCCTAATCGAACCCACCTCCATCCCCATCAACCATCATCAACACCATCCAAGTCGTCATTGCTACCTCACCACCATCGAGTTTCTGATCAAATTCCATGGGATCAAGAGGAGAACAAGCTGTAGAATTTTTCTTCATCTTCATCCTCAAAAAAAATCTCTAAGAAACTTGAGATTGAAGAATTTTCTGGCTCTGTGGTATGTGAAATGGAGATGGATTTGCGAAGGTGGGGTGGGACGGGAGCACCTTAATTTTAAAATGAGTAATGTTATTTATCTGATGATGTGAATCCCTCACATTTTTCTCTCAGTATCTTTAATTTGGCAGTTTAAACATTATTTCACATAAATTGTCATATCATTGATATTCAACTATTATAATGATAAATAATATTATTATTTTAGAATATAAATCTCTGTACTTGATATTTGAAATGTGAATATAAAAGGTAGGTTTGTGGGTAATTTTTCCTTATAAATTTTATTTTTAGTCTTTATGGTCCACAATAGTGTCATCCACGACCCAAAAAATGAATATATAAATTGGGCCTATTTGAGCCTTATGTTTGGAGTTAGAATGCGTTTTTGAAGGGTTAATTAATGGAGAATATGCGCTTAAAAAGGGCAATATAAAATGAAAGAAACACGTGGAATATTATAAGCGCAACCAAGAAATTCAATTCAATCCCCAAAAGGAGCAAGACAACTCAAATCAAAACTCCTAGAACACGATTTGTACAGAGAAATTGAATTTTTTGACGGATTACCGGTACTCGGCAGCTGATCGATCGATAAAGGATGCCAATAACTAGCACGGCGATGAGTTCTCCATTTTGTTATTATTATTCATACAGTTCTAGTCTTCACCAAACCCTAGAAACCTCTTGCTCTCCTTCCTCTTCTACCGCTTTATTACATGCTCCTCCTCGCAAGGTCGGTTTCTATTTATGTATATTTGCTTGAATTCGTGTTTTTATGTGCGATTTTAGCTGTTCAAGAGCTGAGGATTTTTGTAATTATGAGAATAGTGATAATTAATTTTATTTTTTAGATTTTGAGCTTTTTGGGGAATCCAATTTCGGTATTCAGATTCGACAATCAGGTGCGTGGGGCGTCCCTCCGTTACCAGGGGATTCGATTTCCCAACTGTAATAGGCAGACAGGTGGGCTTTTTGTATTGTGGCGAGGTCATGTTATGATTGGATTACTTGAAGTCTTGAACTGTTTGTGTTTATTTATTAATCCGTTGTAAAAAATTATTAGAATACTGCTAATCTATTTTTACGAGTTTTTTACTTATTGATAGGCTTTTCTCTCCAAATCGAAAGTTTTGTTAACAATTGAGTAGTGGTTGATCACACTTTCTTGTTAAAGAAAATACGCAAAAGTCTAAGCTCTGCTAAGATGATTTTCGAATTTCCTTACTGTTGACTGGAACCGATTAAAGTTTGATTTATTTATGTATTAATTTCCAGCATTCCTTTCAAAACTGTTTCGTTATTTTGTGATTCCATAGTTGTATCTTATTTGGAAAATGAGTTGTATATTGGTTAACAAATTGAGTTGTTAGGGAAGGAAATAGTTTTGATAAGATAGAATAACTGATATCATTCTCTGAAGAAACAAAATATGAACTGAATTTATATATGATGAACTCATTGTGTCATAATATGTTTCAGTAAATAATGCTTTAAAATTGTAAGTGTTGTCAACATATTACTTCTTTCTTTTAGAAATGATAAGCTTAAACTAAACAACGGATTCTGATGATCAGCATTCAGTTTCTATTGTTTGATGCTTAGTTATCTAGTAAATAGACACAATATCCTGAACTTAGTAAGCAAAAACTATAGTCCTCTTCAAGTGGACTAATATTTTAAAATGATGAGTTCAATTGTGTGTACAATTAAGTTATTAGTGGAACGACGTTATTGATCTGCTATTTTGCAGTTGTGAAGGCTGTTGCAACACCTGATTCATCTGTGGCATTGCCGCTCACTGCAGAAAATGTGGAGTCTGTATTGGATGAAATTCGACCTTATCTGATTGCAGACGGTGGCAATGTTGCATTACACGAAATTGATGGAAATGTTGTAAAGTTGAAGCTACAAGGAGCATGTGGTTCCTGCCCAAGTTCTGTAACCACGATGAAATTGGGGATTGAGCGCCGTCTGATGGAAAAGATCCCTGAAGTTGTTGCTGTAGAGTCAATACCAGATGAAGAAACTGGCCTTGAGCTGAATGAAGAAAACATAGAGAAGGTAGATATTTCTTTTCATTGTGTCTCCATTGTGATGTTTAATTCACTTTGTGTTATATTTCTTCTTCAAAAATATGTTTAGCTAGAAGAATATATATCAATATGGTCAGTTATAGCTATTAGCCTGTTATCAAACCCGTCATTAAAATTTGGAAGTTTGTGGTCTTGGAAAATTGGTCCTCTTTATTCTGGAAAGTGATATAATATTATAGACCAAGGTAGAGTTGTGCCACTACATGGCAAGAAGAATATCGTCATGGTCTTATCTCAAAGGGTGATTGGGTAAATTTAATAGCAATATTTTGCACAGAACGTGGAGGAAGAATACACAAAATGAGTTGCAAGAAACAGAGAACTTGAGAGGAGAAATATGGACAACAGTAAGCGGACAGTGAAAGTCGTGGATGGGGAAGTTTGTTTGGTCACATGAGATAAAATCTAGTGATTGATGTGGGTATATTCTTGGCTGGTTGTTGGTGCTATTAACACAGGAAAGAACTATAGAAGTTTGGTTTAAAACATGGCAAAACTTGTCTTGGATCAATATGATGAACAACCTATCAAAAAATAATTGCATAGCAATCCATCAGGAGAAATAACATTGTTTACCTACATCCTGGGAAAAATATTAAGGCTAATAAATCTGCCCATCATCCATAGCCTTGGCTTGTTTCAAGCAGTCGGGCTTTTCACCATAGTCTATCGGCATAGAGAAGTCACTAGTCCTTGATGTCAACTTACTGTTTGTGCAAATATGCAGTGCTAGAACATTATATGTACACATTTAGCTGTGGTTGCGCTTGCGGATGATAAATTTATCCCATTTTCATTGAACTCTTGCAATTTTTGTTATCTATCACCTTAGTATGTCAGTAGAATGCCACGGATGGGAAAATGTAGACTTCCAAATGGTGAAAAGAATATGGATTTATGTGCTGGTATAGATGCCTAATTAAATATTTTTATGCTGATTTCTACTTGGGTTACATTAAAGGTGTATACCTTCTGTAATGTTTTAACTTGTTTCTTGTTAACTGAATATTGCTTTACCAAAAATTGAGCAAGTGATTTGAAATGTGCTGGCTTGCTGCAAAGTATTTATTTCATAGTTAGATAAATAAGACCCTCTGCACTCGTAGTCTGTAAGATATTTGCAATTTGTTAAATAGTGATGTCACAACGTAATTCTGATGTGATTTCTACATATTGAGTATAGATATATAGACGAGAACATGAGGTCAAAAACATCCTCAAGTGCAAACTTGTGCATCACCATCTTAGTTTCGATCACTTGTGCATTCCTACGTTTTGATGTGTTTTTCCCAATTGACTTGCCAGAAGGGTACTTATGCATTAGCAGTGGCATTCTACAGGCCAGCAAACAGATGACTTGTAATCATTGTTTACAGCCCTGACTTTTAGGGTCTGTGTCAATGTCAGTCCTGAAGAAAAATTCCTCGCACATTTGTAAAAAAGAATTAAACAATTGTTTAATGAAAAGTAGGGCATTTGAAGAGTATTAGAGAACGGTAAGAACTATTTATGGAGCAAGAAGTTAGATCTTATTATAGTTGCTGTATAATATTTGAATTTTAGCAGCAAGTTGGTTTTAGGAATAGTTCTGTCTCAAAATTTATCCTCCTGGAACTTCAGTAACCTGATTGTGGATTGTATTTGAATTTTCTATATTTTTAAGAAGTTGAAGCGTGAATCTTTGTACTGTATGCTTATTGTTGTTTCTGTAAATTTGAGTTGGGCCGACTTTTGTATTTCTTCTTAGTATTTTAGCAATAGCAAGAAATGTTGCATAGATCTCCAGATTCGCATTTTGGAATGAGATGGGAGTACGGATTCACATTTAGTCAATTGTTTTCATTTTCAAATTATTGGCCTTGATCAAAATGCACGACTAAGGTCTTTAATGACATTAAAAGTGCCGCCAATGTAAATTTTTATTCATTTATTTTTTTAATTTGATATTTATGTCGAGGATCTGAATTTGCCATATTTTTACAGGTGTTGGAAGAAATAAGACCTTATCTCATCGGGGCAGCTGGTGGAACTTTAGAGCTCGTGGAAATTGAGGAACCTATAGTAAAAATCCGAATAACAGGCCCTGCAGCAGGCGTGATGACCGTTCGAGTGGCTGTAACTCAGAAACTGCGAGAAAAAATCCCAGCCATTGCAGCAGTTCAACTTTTGCAGTAGAAAAATTATCTGAAAGATTACCTCTTGCCAATTTTATATCAATGAGGGCCCCATTGAATAGAAGTCAGCAGTAAGTGATTTTTAGCTTGTACTGAGAATTATTAATGACACGACCCAGTTGGTAGATAAGCGCGCAGGGAAGATACTTGGTTCGGTGCCTGGACTTACTATGACTTGCTGCTACATTTTGTACAGTTGGCTGCAATTCTCTATCCCCATTGTCTCTGTTACTTGCTTAAGAAATTTGTGCTCTTGTAATTAACCATTTAAATTAAATTCATTGTGTGGAATGATGGGCGAATATGGCACTCAGGTGTTGGGAGTAGCTTTTCATGCTGAGTGCATTTACTTTGCAGTTTGCACAGAACTACCCATATGTCAGCAATAAAGGAATTAATTATATTCTAACAGGAAAGTAAAGATTACTTTCAAAATACTATATCTTTATTCTTATCATCGAACAACAAGAAGATTTACTTATTTTATCAATTTTAGATTGTTAATTTTACGGTAAAGGGATATTACTTTCGGTGTGATGTATGACAATTCTATTTCAAATATGATTGGGTTTTCTTCTTCTTTCTTTAAATAAGATGCATTCGTTTTCCTTTCTCATTTAGAATGTAATTTCTATTGTTTTTTTCGTCTGTTTAGGATATGATTTCTTTTCTTTATTGAGTAGAATATAATTTCTTCTCCTTCTTTTTTAGATTATAATTTTCTTTTTCTTCCTTTTATTAGTTTAATTTCCTTATATTAGTATGTTTAGAGAAATATTTTGCCCATATAAACAAAAGCTTTGAATTCTTTTTAATTATAATTAGTTAATTCAATTATTTTCACAAATTTTCTAGTTTCTAAACTTTGTTCTTATTTCAAAAATTTCAATTTTGATTCCTCTTCCACACTAAAATTGGTTTCAGAGCAAGGTTTGTTCTTAGTGGCTACCCATGGTGCTAGTGGTATACATACTACTATGATTGGAAGATTGTAAAATTATCAACCTTGGTTTAAAATTTGGAACGAATGGTAGAAATATTTGAAGATGCATTTGATAATGATTTTCAGATTTTGATTGGTTATGAATGCTCGTTATTTCAATAAGTCCAGAACAAGACAATATGTAGATAGAGAACTTTCTCGAACCTCAGCTAGGTTTGAATATTTACAAACTACCAAGGATTCTACGAAGGTCAACGGGGGTGATATAAATTAGTTTAATTTGAAGCGTGACAATATTGTTATAACGCGATGTATCATTAATAATAAAGTTTGCAAAGTGATAATAGATTATGAAAATATTTGGAACTTGGTATTAAAAGCATTGAATAAAGCTTTAAATTTGAAGACTGAAAAACTCTCATCTTACTATCAAGTTTCACAAGTTAAAAGGGGGAAAAAAATCAAATATGGATGTACGCAAAATTTCACTTTCTATTAAAAATACTACAAAGATAAGATTGTGTGTAACATGATAGATATGGACGATTGTTGTGTGCTTTGGGGACAACCGTGCTACAATGATGTAAAATGTCACTTATATAGATCGAAATAATAGATGTGTTTTGGTGATACGATAATAAGATTGTTCTAGCGTCATTGATGAACCTGATTTGCTAATATCAGTGTAAACAAAGAGAGATTTATAAGGTAGATATTGCGTTAAAAAAAAATCATTCAAAATTATCAGGATGTTGTCGACCATTATACAATGAAGATAAAAAAAAAAAACCATGTACAAGTTGGAAATCAGAGACATGTTGATCCCTTATACATGAAAATTGACAATGAATATAAAAGTAAGGGTTGAAAATATTATGGTGAGATTGCAATTGAAGACCCAAAAATTAAGCTATACTATGATGACGAACAAGTTTAAGTTCAGAAGTGTCCATTAAAAGAAAAGGGAATTTACTAAACACGATCGACACGGAGTCAAAAGTAATTTCTTCAGAATACGAAGCACATTTGGTTATGGGGCTAAAAGACTGGATAGATAACTCGACTGCCCTAAAGGAAATCTACTTTATGAAATCAACCATTTTTTCTCTTTTAATGAATACATGAGAAAGGCACGGCAGACTGGCAGTGGCCAGCGGCCTATTGCACTTGGGACTGATTTTTTGTGCTCGAGATTATCCAGTCCCTATAGTGACTTCATGAATATGAGAGTTCTAAGAATAATGTGTGTGGCAAAAAATAAATGATATCTCTTCTGTTTATGCAATGGGTGGCAAAGGGATTCATGCACTTAATGATTCTTCTCAGCAAGATAATTATTCAGCGGGAAGCAATTCTACTACAAGTGAGTTCTCTGTCGCTTCTCAAACTCAACTATTAAAAAGGCTTATCAATTTGAACAGTGAAAGTCTTATCAATGTTGAAAAGATAGTGTTTCCAATCAGGTTGTGCATAATGATAAAATTCATAGAGATATGATCCCCTGTTGGGGAAAATGTACAGTGCATAAATTATATTTTATAACGTACCTTTTTATAAGCATAAAATCAAACATAATTTCTGCTTATTGAAGTCCAATACGTGAAGATGAAATGAGAAGTGATTTCTTCAATTCTAGCGTTTCAATTCTTCCATTCAAGACTTTCCTGAAATCAAAAATGAAAATTAAAAGAGTTTTAAAACCGGCAAGCATGAAAATCAAATGATACGAATTGGTTGAGACAAGAGTTGAACTCTTTTGTTTAAACGAATTTGCTCCGCATCGGTGCTAACAATTTTTCGGCAATTACCTCTCAAGATGCAATGACAACGTCACGCAATAGGATCATTCAAAATTATGTAGACCAACGAACTCAATACAGAATTTTCTCTTTACCAAAACCATGATTTTTTATGCAAGAAAAATCATGCGTTTTGATGCAAAACAAACAATGAAAATTATATGGAATGAATCTGTCTTTCCAAGGGGTCCTATTTATTGAAGATGAAGATTTGTAGCAAAAAAGACACTCCAAATTCAGCACATTTTCATGAAGGGACGTAGCCATTCAGGCCGTTTGCTAGTCACCTGGTTTGGCACTTAAGCACTGAAAGCGGGAGACCTTCGCTCCATGCACACTAGCTTGCTGCTCGAGCGATGGTGTTCTATACAAAATTCTATTTTTCTTTTAACTTTGGACAACAATTTCTCATTCGTCCAAAATTTATTTTGAGATTTCAAATATATAATGATTATCTACTTGACGAGTAGAACAAGTTAGTTTATTCACTTAAATGATTTGACTATCGGAACATATCCGAATATTTGGTCGAAATTAATAAAAAATCAACTTTTATCCCATTATACTTGACCAAATTCCTACAATACCTTGAATGAGGTCCAGGGAAGGTTTGTTTTTATTAGAAGATGCTCTGCTCTAAAACTGATCGACACGTTTAGTGACGTCCCTTATGAAGTATAGCGTGGTAGATGAACAAACAAATGCTAGTAGCCTAGTTCTGTGACGCTAGATACTAGTAATAGAAAAAACGTCATTTCTGAAAGTTTGGCAAGCCATAAGTCACATGATCAGCAAACTACCCTATCCATGTGGCACAACAAGATTGCTAGTTGCGAATTTAATGCCATAATACTGAAAAGACCACTAACAATGTCTATCATGCAGATTTAGTCACAAGCCTCCCTCCAAGAGTATATTATGCTTATTTTTTATATCTTGGCTTGTCGACCCGTGTGTGTGGGAGGCTGTCCCGAGGATTGGGTGTCACACAATTTCTATAACGTAATTATATCTCAAGTGTACAGTGTCAAGTTTTGTAATATAATAATAAAGTTAGGATGTCGAACCCAAAGGGATTGATATTTAATTTCTACCAAGTATTGTGTAGCTCTTATTTTTATCTAGATGAATAAAATTTTGAATAAATTGTTTTAACTAAGTTAACGTGATGAATGTGGTGACAAATTTAACAAATAAATGCAATTTAGAAGAATAATCAAAATGATAAAGTTTAGGATTATGATTTTACCTAACTATCAAATATGATTCACAAAAACCTAGTTATCTCTAATCAATTTTCCATTTTTATAAGCAAAAACCCTAATATAATTCTATCCACTCTCTCGAGTGTCGGGTAAAAATTAATCGTAGGATTTAATTCCAATATCTATATTTCGAATTAAAATCAAGATTTATTAATATTGTTGTTCATAGATAGAACAAGTTTCATAGATTCTACACTTCTCTCAAAATCCATAAAATCTAATTTGTGTTATTGTTATGATAGAGCCTAAATTCTCTTTTCTCGAGTGCCGAAATTGACTAGAATCTAATTATTCAATTAGTGGCCAATAAATAGAAAGCATTGAATCAATAACACAAATAAACGGAAAGAAAAATTTCATAAAAATAACTAAATAAATCAAACCATATTCTCAAGTTTGGTTACATCAAACCCTAGATTAGATGTTTAGTTCATGAAGGAAGCCATAAAAATAATCAAATTCAAATAAAACAATATAAAGAAGAGAACAGAAAAACTAGTTTTGGTAGATTTCCAATCTTCTTTGTGATATTGTTCTTGATTTCTCCTTGTTTTCTTGATAATTTCTTGCCTCCTCGGATTCTTGCTCTTGACTCGATGAATTCTTCCCCTTGAAAAGTGGTTTTCAGGGTTATATTTATAGTATTTTGAAGTTTCAAGATGAGTTGGGGATGGACCGGGCCGAAAACTTTCTTAAAAATCTGATTTTTAACCTCAGGTGGCAGCGTTGCTGTACTGCGATAAATCCTTTGGCGCCTGCAGTTTTGTGTGTGTGTGTGTGTGTGTGTGTGTAAAGACAAATTTTTTAACTCGAAATAGATACGTAATCTTTTTTAACTCGCATCAATGACCAAACCGATTAATCGAAACGACCCAGATCGATTTGATTTGGTTCGGTTTCAATGATTGGATTGAGTTGGAATTTATCCAAACCGATTAAGTCGGTTTCGATTATGAGTTGAACTCAAAATCAAACCAAATCGAACCATGCATAG